TGAAGAATGTCACTGTTTTGTCATTGTAAAAATAATGGATTTAGTCAATAGTATCAATGACTCTCTAAAACTATAAGGAGACAGGCTGATGGAAAACTTTAAAATAAATGGATCGACCTGGCAACACTAAAATCTATCTACCAATCTTAACATATGTAAAAGAGAGATACCAAACATTATTTTGCCTTATGATGAAATGTAATAGGAAACATACACTACAACCTGTAAAGTATTCTTACCAAAGGATTAAACCCGATTCTTATTAAGCCTCTAGACTTAACTATCCATATACAGGACATACAGGGAACAGAGGAACATGTTAAACAACACCATAAGGATGCAATTAGTAACATCCAGGATGTAGGAAGTTCTATAGGACAAATAACCTAATTTCTTCAACAAATGTTGTTGTTAGGTGCCGTTGAGTCATTTCTGACTCCTGGTGACCCTATGTACAACAGAATGAATTACTGCCCGGTCCTGTGCCATCCTCACAACCCTTGCTATGATTGAGCCCATTGTTGCAGCTACTGTGGCAATCCATCTCCTCTTTTTTTGCTGACCCTGTACTTTACCAAGCATGACGTCCTTCTCCAGGGACTGGTCCTTCCTGATAATAACATGTCCAAAGTAAGGGAGATGAAGTCATACCATCCTCCCTTCTAAGGAGCCTTCTGGCTGTACTTCTTCCAAGACAGATTTGTTCATTTTTCTGGAGGTCCATTGTATAGTCAATAGTTTTCACCAACTCCATAATTCAAACATGTTAATTCTTCTTTGGCCTTCCTTATTCATTGTCCAGCTTTCGCGTGCATAGGAGGCGATTGAAAACACATGGCTGGGGTCAGGTGTACCTTAGTCCACAAGGTGACATCTTTGATTTTTAACACTTTAAAGAGGTCTTTTGCAGCAGATTTGCCCAATGCAATATGTCCTCTGATTTTTTTGACTGCTGCTTCCATGGGTGTTGATTGTGGATCCTAGTAAAATGAAATCCTTGACAACTTCAGCATTTTCTCAGTTTATCATGATATTGACTATTGGTCCAGTTGTGAGGATTTTTGTTTTCTTTATGTTGAGGTGTAATCCATACTGAAGGCTGTAGTTTTTGATCTTCATCAGTAAGTACTTCAAGTTCTCTTCACTTTCGGCAAGCAAGGTTGTGTCATCTGCATATCGCAGGTTGTTAATGAGTCTTCCTCCAATTCTGATACCACATTCTTCATATAGTCCTGCTTCTCAGATTATTTGCTCAAGATACAGATTGAATAAGTATGGTGAAAGTATACAACGCTGACACACACCTTTCCTGGCTTTAAACCACACAGTATCCCCTTGTTCTGTTCGAACAACTGCCTCTTGATCTATGTATAGGTTCTTTATGAGCACAATTAAGTGTTCTGGAATTCCCATTCTTCTCAATGTTATCCATAATTTGTTATGATCCACACAGTCAAATGCTTTTGCATAGTCAATAAAACACAGGTAAACATCTTTGTAGTATTCTCTGCTTTCAGCCAAGATCCGTCTCACATCAGCAATGATATCTCTTGTTCTACCTCCTCTTCTGAATCTGGCTTGACTATCTGGCAATTCCCTGTCAATGTACTGCTGCAATTGTTTTTGAATTATCCTCAGCAAAATTTTCCTTGCATATGACATTAATGATATTGTTCAATAATTTCCTCATTCTGTTGAATCACCTTTCTTTGAAATGGGCACAAATATGGATCTCTTCCAGTCAAACGGTCAGATAGCTGCCTTCCAAATTTCTTAGCATGTATGAGTGAGCACTTCCAGCATTGCATCTGTTTATTGAAACATCTCAGTTGGTATTCTGTCAATTTCCAGAACCTTGTATTTTGCCAGTGCCTTCAGTGTAGCTTGGACTTCTTTCTTCAAATATCATTGGTTCTTGATCATACGCTACCTCTTGAAATGGTTGAACATTGACCAGTTCTTTTTGGTACAGTGACTCTGTGTATTCCTTCAATGTTCTTTTGATGCTTCTTTGGTTGTTCAATTTTTTTGCCCAGAGAATCCTCAATATTGCAACTCTAGGCTTGAAATTTTTCTTCAGTTCTTTCAGCTTGAGAAATGCTGAGCATGTTCTTCCCTTTTGGTTTTCTAACTCCAGGCCTTTGCACATTTCATTATAATACTTTGCTTTTTCTTCTTGAGCCCCCTCTTTGAAAACTTCTGTTCATCTCTTTTACTTCATCGTTTCTTCCATTTGCTTTAGCTAGTCGATTTTCAAGAACAGGTTTCAGAGTCTCTTCTGACATCCATTTTGTTCTTTTCTTTCTTTCCTGACTTTTTAATGAAGTTTGCTTTCTTCATATATGATGTCCTTGATGTCATCCCACAGTTCATCTGGTCTTCGGTCATTAGTGTTCAATGCATCAAATCTGTTCTTGAGATGGTTTCTAAGTTCAGGTGTGATGTATATTCAAGGTCGTATTTTTGCTGTCATGGAGTTGTTTTAATTTTCTTCAGCTTCGTCTTGAACTTACATGTGGGCAGTTGACGGTCTGTTCTGCAGCCAGCCCCAAGCCTTGTTCTGCCTGAACAACAAATAAATAAGAGAAAAATCAGAGAAGGGGAACCTACAGATTAAAATACACCTATGAGAAGTACCAAACAAATGTGATGTGTAGACTTTTAGGGTCTTGACTTAAACAAAGCCAACTATGTAAAATAGAAAGCATTAGATGATCAAAGAAATTTGAACACTGATTTTATATTTGATGTATTAAGTAATTATTATTAATATTTAGGCATGACAGTAGTATTATATTCACGTTTTAAAAAAGTCATCTTTTACTCCACTGGTCTCATCTCTTCGGGAGCAAGTGAGAATGAAGAGAACAGGATACAACGAAAAGATTAGTCCAAAGGACTAATTGTCCACAGCTACCAAGATCTTCACCGGACTGAGTCCAGTACAGCTAGATGGTGCCCGGCTACCACCGCTGACTGCTCTGACCAGGATCACAACAGAGGGTTCTGGACAGAGCTGGAGAAAGATGTAGAGCATAATTCTAACTCACAAAAAAAAAAAAAAAACAAAAGACCAGATTTACTGGCCTAAAGGAGACTGGAGAAACCCCGAGAGTATGGCCCCCAGACACCCTTTTAGCTCAGTGGTAAAGTTACCTTCGAGGTTCACTGATCAGCCTGCGAGTGGACAGCCCAGTAAAACCATGAGAGTAACGAGGTACAGGAGTCCAGTGACAAGGCCCAGAAGGCAGAAGGGGAGTAGGAAGCTGATGATAGGGAACACAAAATAGAGTAAGGATATTGTTGATGTGTTGTGAGATTGTTAACCATTGTCATAGGGCAACATTTGTAGTAACTGTCAGATGGGAGACTATTTTGTCCTGTAAGCCTTCATCTTAAGTGAGAATAACAGCATAATTAGAAGAGCGTAGTCAATGTCACTTAAATGTGTATGTAAAAAACACTTTTGAAATGGCGTATCTTTGGCTATGTGTATTTTCACCAAAAAAAAAAAAAAAAAGTTGAGTATTTAGAGGGTTAAAATGTTGTGGGGTTGTTAACCAATGTCATAAAACAGCATGTGTGTTACTGTTACATGAGAAACTATCTGTTCTGTAAGCCTTCACCTGAAGTACAATAAAATATTAAAAAAAAAAAAAAAAAAAATTCATCTTTTACCAATCCTTACTAAAGCATTTACAGATAAAATGATATGATGCCTGCAATTTGCTTCAAAATAATCTACTGCATAGAAAAGTGGGTTGTTGTTGTTAGGTGCTGTCGAATCATTTCTGACTCATAGTGACCCTACGTACAACAGAATGAAATCCTGATCGGTCTTGCACCATCCTCATGATTGTTGTTATGCTTGAGCCTATTGTTGCAGCTACCATGTCAATCCATCTCACTGAGGGTCTTCCTCTTTTTCACTGACTTTCTACTTTACCAAGCATGATATCCTTCTTCAGGGACTGGTCCCTCCTGACAACATGTCCAAAGTATGTGAGATGAAGTCTCATCATCCTTGCTTCTAAGGAGAATTCTGGCTATACTTCTTCCAAGACAGATTTGTTGGTTTTGTTGGAAGTCCATGGTATAGTCCATATTCTTCACTAACACCACAACTCAATGGCATCAATTCTTCTGCAGTCTTTCTTATTCATTGTCCAGCTTTTGCATGCGTATGAGGGTATTGAAAATACCATGGCTTGGGTCAGGCATGCCTTAGGCTTCAAGGTGACAGCTTTGCTTTTTAACACTTTAAAGAGATCTTTTGCGCAGATTTGCCCAATGCAATGCGTTTTTTGATTTCTTGACTGCTGTTTCCGTGCTCATTAACTGTGGATCCAAGTAAAATGAAATCCTTGACAACTTCAATCTTTTCTCCGTTTATCATGATGTTGCTTGTTGGTTCAGTTGTGAGGATTTTTGTTTTCTTTATGTTGAGGTGTAATCCATACTGAAGGCTGTGGTCTTTGATCTTCATCAGTAAGTGCTTCACGTCCTTCGCTTTCAGCAAGCAAGGTTGTGTCATCTGCGTAATGCGGGTTGTTAACGAGTCTTCCTCCACTCCTGATGCCACATTCTTCTTCATATAGTCCAGCTTCTCGGATTATTTGCTCAGCATACAGGTTGAATAAATAGAGGGTAGGAATATATATGAAACAAGATTGATTATGAGTGGATAATTGTTGAAACTGTCTGACAGTGGCGGCTTATTATAAACTTTCTATAATATAGATACTTCCATCATTGGTCATCTCAAAATCAATGTATTTTTATTTCTCTGATGACTATATCATTTTTGTAAGAGAAAATTACAAAGATTTGACAAATGAGTTACCATCAGCTTAATATTACTGCATTCATGCAGATATGTGCAATACATGGACCATAAGTAGAGTAAACCTTGAAAAGACATATCTCCTTCAGTTAGGATATCTGTTAATCCTTGTATCATCCCTGAAACCAGGGACTGATTTTTCTAACTGTCTGGCCAGGTCAATGAAAGGCTGATATTATATCAGCATACTGACCTTGAGAACACAGGCTGGGCTGCAGAAGACTTTTTCATGTTCACAACATCCTCCCTGCCAGCAACTCTAGGCCCTGAGATGTTTCGTATTACTGTTTCATATGAAATCAATGATCCTCATCAGCAGAGTCGTCTGCTTGCAAATACAGGTAAAGCCAACAAGATATGGTCAGTGCCTTATTTATGATTATTAAAGAAGGGACAGTTTGGAAATCAATCTTTTCAATGCCTTGATATCAACCTTTGAAATAAAACTTGTACTGTTTATCCAAAATTGTAATTTCTTTACACGTAATCTCTCTCCAGACCTCTTCTATTTCCTCTCATAAGCCTTAATGATGTATTGGGGTAAGGATGGCAAATTAGCTTTAAAGAATTTTATTTGTGCCTCCCAAAGTCCTCCTATGGGGCTTCACCATGCCCATGATGGAAAACTGTTGATAGAAAATGAAAATGAGAAATAGCGTTGGTTCTTGAAAGGAATGAGATATTGAAAGGAAAGGGATATTGCACCTTTTCTTATGACAAGAGAAAATGTAGTAGTATGTAAGTTAGGAAATCAACATTTTATAAGTGAATCTAAAAGTTGTAATGCTTCTTTGCTTGAAATGTTGAGCTGGTAGTATGTGTGTGTGTGAAAAATAAAATTTATTTTTTTCATTTGCCTTGGGTAGCAATGCTAGTTAAATACTTGAGCAACCAAGGTGTTTTGAGGAATACACTAGGCCAGGCAAATTTGAGGGAGAAAGCACTTTACAGCTGTCATATGAAAATTCTAATGAAATACAACTTTGTTCTTCGTATTTATGTTTTAATAGGAGCTGCTGTCAAGGAGGGAGACAAAGTTCTGATTGACCAGTCTAAATTAGATGCTTCCAATCTCTTATTTAAACTACACAAGTCTCAGCGTTCTTCTTATGAAATATGGTTCCAGGTTACATCTCTTCCTCACCACGGAACCATTATGATTGGAGAAAGAAATATTACCAAAGGAAAACCGAATTTCTCCCAGTATATAATTAATAAATTTGGAATCACATACTTTCACGATGACTCTGAATCACTGACTGATAATTTTACCTTTGCTGTTTGGCCAAACCAAAAGAGCAAGTCCTCCACCAAGCCAGAGGCTGACTTTCTTGAAGAGATGTTTAATATCACCATCTCTCCCGTGAATGACCAGGCACCAGAATTAAAGACAAAAGGACTTCAATTGAAAGTTTTGCAGGGCAGTAGGGTGGTTGTGGGACCCGAAAACCTGAAAGTGGAAGATCTAGACAGTCCCCCAGAGGAGATCAGATATGTGATTATCCGTAACCCTAGTAATGGCTTTTTGGCAATGGATTACCATCCAGACACACCTGTTCACCATTTTACACAAGCTGACATTGATAACTCCCAAGTGTGGTTTGTACAGGATGGAAGCCCATCCTCTGGAGTGTTTTACTTTAGTGTGACTGATGGCAAACATCGCCCACTCTACAAGCTCTTCCACCTGGATGTCACCCCCATCTCCATCACCCTCGTGAACCTCACTGACCTTCATCTCCCACAAGGCCAGACAACCATTTCAATCACCAATGCTCACCTGTCAGCAGTGACTAATGGGAGGAGCCCCCAAATCACTTACAAGGTCACACAGCCCCTCCAGCATGGGCATCTGCTGATTGAAAACCAGGTGGTCACCAGCTTTGAAGAGGAAGATTTGTATTCAGGAAGACTCTCTTACAACATGACAAATCTCACTGCCTCAGAGGACCAGCTACAGTTCTCACTGTTTACTTCAGAAAGCAACCTGACAGGACAAACACTGAGCATCAGAGTTCAGCCTTTACTGCAGGTTACGTCAAACCTGAAAATTGCCAACAGAGTGGCTCACCGGCTGAGGAGAAAGGATCTGGATGCTACTGAGCTTGCTAATATGACTAACAGTGATCCCAAATTTGAAGTGATAGCACCCCCTGCCCATGGAAGACTTGTAAGAAGAGCAGGTTGCAACACTTCAGTGGAAGACACTACATTGTTCACTCAATGGGACATTGACCAAGGGCTGTTAATGCTAGACCCACATGCTAATCTAACAGGCACCGATATGCTGAATGATTCCTTCACTTTCTTGCTCAGGGCAGACCACGTGCAGCCAGCAATAAGTTATCTCCCCTTCACCATTGTGCTACCGGACCCCTTACTTTTGCAAAATTTTACCTCAGATGTTCCTTTATTAGTTACTGCAGATAACCTTGTAACCTCAGATCCCTCTCAGGAAAAGTCTGTGGTTTCTTTAGGACTCACAGCACAAACAGAAATTATGGGAAAGCTGACCCAGACCAGATGGCAGGAAACAGATTCCTGGGGCCGTCATAGTGCTGAAGAGCCTACTGTGGATGGGAAGACCTCTTCCAGCAGGGCTGTTTGGCCACCAGCCACCACCAAGGTCAGCCTTGGGACAGCTACCCAACTCAGTGAGAGCAGCTACCCACTGATGGTCATCATACCCTTGGCTGCAGTGGTCTTCCTGCTGATGGTGATTGCAGTGGCCTTGTGTGGTTGGCTACTGGGCTGGAAGGTAGAAAAAGCAAAACCTCTTATCAAGCCCCAGACCAACCCAGAACCCACAGCCCCAAGAACTAGACCAGAAAGGAGTATAACCGTTCCTACTGTCACAGTGATGCCACTTATAAAAAGCTCCAGCAGCCCCCAAGTCAGCCCCCTAAGGGCCCCACAATGTGAGCAGATGGCTTCTCTAGTGGCTGAGCCAGTGGAAAAATGTGCTCCTTGGGAGACATCGATGAGCTTAGATCCCGACATGGTGAAACTCTGCCGGCAAACCAACCCAGCACTAAAGCACAACCAGTACTGGGTATAGGCTCTTGTTTCGTATTGACCATCTACCGTGTTCCAGGTACTGGGATAGGCACTGAGATACAATGGCAAAGAAATGCTGGTTGAATCAGCTGTAAGCAGCCTGGCCCTGCCAGTCACCCAATGCTCAGAATTTGTTGGATGTTGGTGGGTGTTTATTGTAACTAATGCTCATCTTAGGCCTCTCCACAGTGGACTTGTATGCCCTCTTCTGGATCTGACTTTCTCAGTGTACGTAACTTTTAAGGTGCTACATAACATGCTTGCCTGACTGGAGCCCACAGTACTAACTTGGGTGTTATAGTTAATGGAGGAAAGCTTTGAATATTTTTCATCGAGGATTCACTCTCCCCAAGTGAGTCAGGAGGAAGTGCAGGAACTGTTTCAGCAAGTAGAAGAGGTAATTTATCAAATCAGTGAGTTTGTTTCTGTAATGTTTTTCTGTAATATCTCTTCTTCCTTGAAGTCTCTAGGTTCGATTTCCTAACACAGGAAATGCCTCTGTGCTCCAGATAGTGGAATAGCCTGGCCCCCTTTGAGGATATTCACCTAACGTGTTTCATCAAGAGGCTTTGTCTGTTCTAATTTATAAAATCAAGTCTGTTGTTGTTGTTGTGTTGTTAGGTGCTGTCAGATCGGTTCCGATTCATAGGGACTCTGTGTACAACAGAATGAAACATTGCCCTGTCCTGCGCCATCCTCACAATCATTGCAATGTTTGAACCCATTGTTGCAAACACTGTGTCGGTCCGGCTCTTTGAGGGTCTTCCTCTTTTTCGCTGACACTCTGTTTTACCAAGCATGATGTCCTTCTCCAGGGACTGGTCCCTCCTAATAACGTCCTGATTACTTGAGACGAAGTCTCACCATCCTCGCTTTCAAGGAGCATTCTGGTTGTATTTCTTCCAAGACAGACTTGCTTGTCCATGGTATATTCACTATTCTTTGCCAACACCGTAATTCAAAGGCATCAATTCTTCTTCGGTCTTCCTTATTCATTGTCCAGTTTTGCATGCATATGAGGCAATTGAAAATACCATGGCTTGTGTCAGGTGCACCTTAGTCCTCAGGTGACATTTTTGCTTTTTAACACTTTAAAGAGGTCTTTTGCAGTAGATTTGCCCAATGCAGTCTTGTATGATTTCTGGATTGCTGCTTCCTTGGGCAAAAATCAAGCCTAGAGTTCACACATTATTTGAAACCTTAAGGGGTAAAAGAATTTCTTAAATGAATTTATGATGCCTCAATTTGACTTAACTTTGCAATGAATTGAAGGAATGACAAATTTGTATTTGAATTGTCTAGTTAACCCCTTTGTTAGCTGACGCAAGTTTCAGTTTCTGTAATTGTAAAATGAAGATATTGTACTTCTGTTAACTAGTAATGCTTTGGGCTGCAAATCACAAGACATCCACTATCAGTGATTTAGTTCAGGAGTTGGCAATCTTTTTTTGTAAAGGGCCTCAGTAAATATCAGACTTCGTGGCCCACATGTAGTTTCTGTCACACATGCTTTTTTTTTTTTAAACACTCTTTTAAATATGTAAAATCCATTATTGGCCAACAGTGTGCTGACCTATGGTTTAGGCAATAAGAGTGTTGAATTATTTCAACTGACAGGAAGTCTGGAGGTGGGCGTTCCAGGGTTGGTTCGGCAGTTCAAGGATGTCATCAAGAACTGAAGCTCTTTTTTTCCTTCTGCTCTACCTTTCTCAAGCTGTTGGTGTTCCATTCTTTTGTTTGATTCCTCATGATTATAAAATGACTACTGAAGATCCACACAATACAGCCACACTGAAGGGCAGAAATCTTACTGGGAGAAAGAGAGATATGACAAAAAAGGCTTTTTCTTAAAAAGTTTCTTGATTTTATTTATTTATTTTAATCTGGGAAGGAGAGTTCCCCTCCTCAAGTAGACTTTCCCTTTATGTCTCATGCCCCAGAACTGTATTACGTGATGTCCATCCATCACCAAATCATTGGCAAAGGGGAATGGGATTCTGACATAATCTCTACTCAATTGGGAGAGGCATCTACTATGTCAGGGATCAGTAGATCTGCCAACTGTGAAATTGGGGCTCTGTTCACAGGGAAGAATAGGGGAACAGCAGTTGGATAGGCACTGAATAAGGTCTGTTAGAATACTATTCAAGAAATCTAGGGAAACAAAGATTCTGATCTCCGAAATTGATGCCTACTGGAATATCTCCTTTTCATAATGACTTGTTTAAAGCCGGCATCCCGTGGTTCTCAACTGGAGGAGAAGGGAGAGATTTAGATTCTGCCCCCCACCCCGGGGATATTAGCAACATCTGGAAACAATTTTAATTGTCACAGTTGGGGTGTGTGTGCTGCTGGCATCTAGTGGGTAGAGGCCATGGGTGTTGCCAGACATCCAGCAATGCACAGGACAATCTCCCACAATAAAAGAACTATCCAGCCCAAAATGCCAGTAGTGCCAAGTTTGAGAAACCCTGGCTTAAGCCATTATAGAGTTTTCTTGTAAACTCAATGAAGTATTAATAGACCCATTACCAAGTCTAGGCAAAAAATATATCCTGAAATCAGAATGGAATGTTGAAAATTCCACAGTATGTTTGAAACTCTGATTGGCTAATGGTAAACATGAACATTTTTCAAAGAGGATATATTAAAAACAACACAAAACTTGAAGGAAGATTAATCTCTTCACATTCCTTGTCTAAGGAAAAGATTTCGCCTTGTGCTAACAAGTGGAATACATCAGAAGGGAAAAGAATTAGGTAGGATATTTGCAAAGGTAAAGATGAGGTCAAAATTTCCCTAAAAATCTGATGCCTCTAATGTATTCCATATGGAAAGGATGTTTTGGTTACTGTCTTAGTCATCTAGTGCTACTCCAACAGAAATACCACAAGTGGATAGCTTTACAAAGAAATCTATTCTCTCACAGTCCAGTAGGCTACAAGTTCAAATTCAGGGCATCAGCTCCAGGGGAATGCTTTCTCCGTTGGCTCTGGAGGAAGGTCTGTGTCATCAATCTTCCTTTGGTCTGGGAGCTTCTCTGTGCAGGAACCTCAGGTCCAAAGGACGCGTTCTGCTCCCAGCACTGCTTTCTTGGTGGTACAAGGTTCCTATGTGTCTCTGCTCGCTTCTCTCTTTTATATCTCAAGAGATTGCATCGAGACACTGATCTTGTCAACCTCATCAATATAACCTCATCACAGTGATAGAATTTACAACACATGAGGAGATCACATATAATCTCATCATAGTGGTAGAGTTTACAACACATAAGGAAATCACATCAGATAACACAATCATACAATACTAGGAATCATGACCTAGCCAAGTTGCTACACGCATTTTTTGGGGGACACAATTCAATCCGTGACACTTACTCTCTCCCTTTTTTGTTCCTTTAGGTTGTTCTTCCCTTCAACCCAGTTTTAGCTGCTCTTTGTGAAAACAGATTTTACAATCTACAGAGTAGATGGAAGCATAGCATATTTGGGCCTAGAAACAACTACCCATGTCTTAGATCCATGGATCGAATGCCACAGACAACTGTTGCCTTCCATGCATGGGCATGGACAACTGTTGCCAAAGGAAATTTCTCTACTCTTCTTCCAAAAGTGATCCTCTCCTACATTCTGGGTTCCTGAATTAGATATAGCCCCTTTGCAGTGTTTTTGTATTTGATTCCTTTAGAAAGGGAGAGAAGTGAGAGTCTTAACCCAAGGCTGGCTTGATCACTATGTGTCTTAGGCTGGGTTCTCTAGAGAAGCAAAACCAGTGAAGAGTATATAAATATATGTATATTTTTATTTAGAGACAGACATATATAGAAAGAGAAGGAGAGAGATTTATTGCAAAGAAATGGCTCACACAGTTGTAGAGACTGGCAAGTTCTAAGTCTGTGGGTCAGGCATCAAGCTGGAGGCTTCTCCTGACTCACATAGCTGCAGGGGCTGACTAACCCAAGATTGGCAGGTCAGAAGGCAGGCCACTGGATCAAGTCCTAAGAACTGGAGGTCAGATGATGATGAGCCGGATACAGGATCCAGAGCAAGCGAGTGAGCTTTTCCAAACATACATATATGTTTGCAGGCCACACCCCTGAGGAAACTCCTCTTACAACTGATTGGCTGATCACATCAGATCACATCTTGGAGGATAGTTACATCATTACATAACTGCCAAATTAAATCATTACATAACTGCCAAACCACTGAGAGTGGCCCAGCCAAGTTGACGCACAACCTTAACCATCACACTGTGCAACTAAGAATTCTTCTTAGACTTATTCTAAGCAGCTGGGCACTCTGAAGGAACAGAATAGCAGTGTGTCCTTGAGTCTTCACACAGAAGTGGAAGGCTGAGGAGCATCTTTGCACACAGTAAGTAGGTTTTGCTCCCCCTTGACTGGGCAAGGATAATCCCTGTTCTTTGTAGAAGAGCCAGGCATACTTGGCTAAGTGACTGTGCTGGCCTCTTCCTTGATTCAACCATAAGATTTCTGGAGCTAGTAGTACCAGCCTGGCCAAACAAAAAAAAATCTAAATTTTTCTTCCTCTTTTTCTTGTTAACTTTGCAACTCCAGTCAAATAAAATTGGTGCCCATATTGGAACAAGACATACATAGATGCTTTAAAATAATAATTTGCATTATTGTTTGTGAGTGTGCCTGCTAGGGCAAGAACATCAGTGTGAGATCCAGATGTCAAACCCCAGTGTTGAATCAAATAATTAATATAGAGTGTGAAAAGTTTTCTTCCAGAGGCTCTGGAATATTCTACTGATTTGCAGATGACTTCAATTAAAAAGAAACAATGCCTACCATTTGGTGCTGGTTCAAATAAAGCATGAAATAAAAATTTTTGGCAAAGCCTTGTTTAGTGTTGAAAAATGAAGTTTTGGAAATTGAAAATCAGTCTGAAATAGTTTCTCCCATATGCAGAGCTATAAATGCATAGTTTCAAATCTTTGTCATGATTAATCCACTGTTTCTTAATAATGCTTGGA